GAAAAGGAAATATCAAAGATTGAATATCAAATCAAACCAGGTGAAAGAAAGTTGTCCCTTAGGCAGTGAATTCTCAGTATAGGAGAAGTCTGGCTTTATGGGAGGTCAAGTGTGAAAGACATAAAGGCAGGGTGAGAATAATGCATAGCAGTAACTTTTGTTACTTGTATTTTATATTTTACCTGTATATTTACCTGATCCTGGGCATTGTGACAAGCAATGCTCATCCCACATAAGTCTGAGGTAGATACTGTTATTATCCCCATTTTGTAGATAAGGAAACTGAAATTCAGAGAGGCTGACTTACCCAATGTCACATAAGATGATAAGTGGCACCACCTGGATTTCAACAGGTGTTCAAAGTCTCAAATATATTCTACTGCATTTTACCTCACTTACATTAATCAAAGTTTGCTGTCAAGAAAACAGACAAAAACCCCAGCAAACTTCCGTGTTACATCTGGACAGTATTGCATCAGTTGTTGGCATCACATTTTCAGACAATCCTTTTAGAGTAGAGCAAATTCACGGGAGGGCAAGAAGGACGCTGTGTTATCTAGAAAACTCTTCCTATGTGAAACATTTGAGAAAATTGGCAGAAGGGTTGTCTTGAGGACGAGAAGACTTGGGGGGCACATAATATCTGATTGAAGACCTTTTATAGGTAGGGAAGTTAAGCTTCACATTTCTAACATCCAAAGGCATTCTTATGACTGGTGAGTGAAAGTTCTATGTGTAATCAAAACACGGACTCATCATGGGGTCATGTTCTCATCCGTGTAGCACTTAAGAGCCCTTTACGCGTGGGATAAAATTTCTCGGGCTCATTTTTAATGTTGACTTTTAGTTTTTTCAAACTGTAAAACATGCAGCTCAGCTTGGTTTCCTAGTGAAATCATTCAGAAGCTCGTATCTGCATGATTGCAGCTGAAATAGACTAAACAAAAAAAATGCAGTCAGTACAAATTGCTGTGGGTTATCTATACAGCTACAGCATGTGGTGAGAACCTGACGCTGCATCCCTGGGATTTATGAGACTTCCAGTAAGTCAGCTCAGCTCAGTGCTTCGGACCTGGATCCAACTCTCCTTGGATGTCTAGACGCAGCCTGAGATGAAGCTTCAGAAATGGGTAAAGAGGAAGGAGCCAAAGCCACCAGAAGCCTTTGACCCTCTTCTAATGTTTCAACCAGATAATTATTTTCCCCTCTCAAGAATTTGGCTATCCTTGGGGGGCGGGGGGATCAAGATTTTTCCATGTGAGGAGCCCCTGAAAGAAAATACTCTGGAGAAAGGTCAGTCAGAATGGGCCAAAGCGGAATTCTTCAGATCTGTTTGGAGAATGTGGAAATTCTTCAGATCTGCTTGGAGAATGTGGAAAGTCTGCTCCCTTTCTGCTCGGCGTGCTCTCCAGCAGGCCGAGAGCTGCCGGGGTATTTGTCCAGCCTAGCCTTCCCCATACCTTCACATCCTAAAGGAGCTCAGACCGAGCAGTGGCAACACCTCAAGTGGAAACCTCAGTGGAAGCTAAAAGCAGTGGTGGGGAAGTAATCAGATAATTAAAAACTGGTGAATTTTGATTCTCGTCAAGGTAATCCATTACCCCTTCTGCCCTGTAGCAAAGATATGACCTTTCACATTTTCTAACAATAAGCGTTCCTACTTGGAGAGTATATTTCTTATAAATATGTCCCGCTTTTAACTAACATCACTCATGCTGCTTGTTGTGGTTTGTCTCTTCCAGCTTTTTTATCTTGGGTTTTCTGTAGGAAGTGAAGAATCCAGTCAAAAATGATAAAAGGTGGTTTTAAAAATGTGGACAGCCCAAGTTCATTCCATAGTTCATTCGTTTATTCATTCATTCATTCACTCATTCATTCAACAAATATTTGTTTTATGGAGGCCGCATGCCAAGGACTGTGGTAGACTCAGGTTGTGCTGTTTATTACTTATGGGAAAGTCACCAACTCTCTCTGAATCTTACTTTCCTCAACTGTAAAACAGCTCCGTTATCAACTTTGCAAGGTTGCTGTGGAGATTAAATGAGATGACTTCTAAGGTGGTAAAAACAATAGAAGCTTCTCTCGTACTCTTACCTCCGTTGCTACATCCAAAAACCATGCACGACAGAGATGGAAAGTCCCCAAAACCTGGAAAGGTAGCAATATCTGTCAACTTATTACAAGACTCATTGAACTGGATTGAGATTCTGGGAGTGAACAGTGCATGCTTTACCCTGATTAAGGAAAATGGGCTAAACAGGAAGACAACAAAAAGAAACTTCTGTGCTTCCTCACTGAATCAACGTGAGAAAAGTGGCTATGGAGCCAACTGGAAACCCAGATATCCAGCTCTACTTTGAGGCCAGTTCAAAAAAATGAATCCCAGTAAGAATTTACAAATGGAAAAGCACACATAGAAAATGCCTGATGATAAATATTTATTCAAGTTAAACAGATAAATTTCTTTCTAAATAATTGCTTAAATGTAACAGAATTGAATACAAAAGTTTAAAAAAAGAAAAAAGGAAACTCTTAAAGAGATGTGAAAACAATAATTCAGAAATAATATTCTAGGTCAGTATTTCCAGATAGATTAGCAATTGTGATAAAGTGGCAGAAAGTAAAAGCTTCTAAATTCTTCAATAGGTCAGGAATTATTATTTTATTTCTGAATTTCGTGTATACAAACGTGAATTAAAGAATGATTTGGAAAACTCAAAAGTAATCATTTACCTGTAGAGCTGAAAACTGCTAAAAAATATAGAAGTCAAAAAGACAGTTCATTTCTCACCCTACACAAGTGAAACGGTACAGAACATTAAAAGAAAACAAGCATATGTCAAAATGAAAAAACAAAAAAAGAGGCATACAGTTATGGCAAGAAATAAACATGATTAAACTTCCCAGAATCCCCTGGGAATACAATGATGAGCATAAAAATGATACAGTCTTTGTCCTAATGTTGCTTATGGGCTAGTCGAGAAGACAGCCATTATCAATATAAATAATGAATAAGAAAGAAAGAGGAAAAAGAAAACAGAAACACTCACACATAATTCTGAAAACATGATTGGTACTGTGAAGGAAAGGTAAATATGAAAAACTGTGTGAAAGAGGCGCTGACCTGTAAGGGTGGCAGGGAAGTGATGTCTGAACAGAGCTGAGATCCCAAGAAAAAGCAAGAGTTAACTGTTGCAGTGAGGGGAAAAACAGAGACCTGCGGGCAGAGAAGGCAGCATATTCAGAGACTTGGGGAGTTTTAAGGAAATAACAGAAGGCCAGTGTGGCTGGCGCAGAGAGAGGAAGAGAGAACAGACGGTGAAAAGAAACCAGAGAGAGAGGAAGGAAACGGTGCAGACCACGCAGGGCTTTGGAGGCTGACGTAGGGAGCGTGGTCTTTTCCTAAAAGCAGGTAGCTGTTAGAGCGTTTTGTGCCAGGGGTAAAAAATACCTCGAGTCACATTTTCAGAACATGATGAGGACTCAGTGAGGAGAACGAATGTAAAGGGGCCGTGGGATGCTGGGAGGCCATCGAGGGAGGTGTTGTAATAGTCCAAGAGAAAGGGGATCGTAAGATGGTGGCCAATATATAGGAGGTTAGGTTTTAGGTGGTAAAATGGAAGAGGCGCATGAGAGAGCGGAAGGTGTCCAAGGTACTCCCCAAGGTGTCCGGATTATGTGCTGCATCGTGAGGTGGGAACACCAATTCAGTCGTTTGTGTCGAGGGGTGTTTGAGTGGAGAAGTCGATAGGCAGTGTGAGCCCAGGGCAGGCCTGGATAGGTTTACCTGGGAGCCCACTGGATTTAGGTATAAACTGAGGCTCTTAGGCATGAGTGAGGGCACCTTGGAAGAGAATAATAAGAGGAGATTCTTAATCTTGTACACTGCTAGTATCTGTCTAAATTGAATCATCATTTCTGCAAAGGCGATTGAGAATGTATATCCGTGTCTTAAAACGTGATCATCACTTTGATCTTGTAACTCTATTTATAGGAATCTATCCTCCAGACATAAAAGTAGTAAATGTGATGAAGGCTTATGGATACAAATATTCATTTAAGCATTATTGATGATGGCAAAAGGAAAATTGCCTAATGGTCCAAGGCTAAGAGAAAGTTAAGTAAATTACTATACATTTATATAAGTAAATATTGTCATTAGAATTTAATGTTTATAAAGATGTAATGGCATAAGTAGATGACTGATATAATAGTAAGTGAAAAAGGACACAAAATTCATAGAGATAGGGATTAGAGATAGAGAGATAGAAACTCCACTGTGTGAACAATGCATAGAACAGAGTATAAAGAAATAAGGTTACCTGTAAACAGTGAAAAATGGATGATTGTCACCATGTCACCATTTTTATACTTTTATCTTGTTTCCAAATCTTTCAAATTAGGCATGTATTACATCTTACATATTAATTTATTAGAAAAGAAATGTAAAATCATAGTATTTTCCCAGTTATAAATATACACTTTATAGGCATATCACTCTGCTAAGTACTGGTTAATGTTCTTCCCTTTTCGCAATATTGTTGGGCGTTTGTGATTTGAATCTAGTGTGGTATTTTAGGTTTGCAAGATTATTGCCATGCATTTTCAAGTTTTATGAGCCATTTTGATTTGTGGAATAGTTTCAGAAAATTGATCTAATTACTAGGCAATGGCAAACCCGTTCCCCCTCAGAACAACTCCCGTCATCTGGCACCCAGTGTATCCATTGAGAGAGTTTGTATTTCCTTTAGTTCTTATTGCTGAGCACTGCAGGTGAGTCTGGATTCTTTAATGTGAGCGTTTTTAAAAATTATATTACATACGTATAGGAATTTACTAATTATTTAAAATACAATGAATTGTTTTTGTTTCTGTCCAGTGACTGCGAGAGACATAGTATCCATTTGGACTGTCATTTGTATCAGCATTGTCTGCAGTACTATAAAGTCATTTTGAATTTGTTTTATAACTAAAAGCATGATATTTTTTTTAAACTTCAGGAATGTATACAAAGATTATCGCTTCCTTGAGCTGGCATGCGATTCGCAGGAGGATGTAGACAGCTGGAAGGCATCTCTGCTAAGAGCTGGCGTTTATCCCGACAAATCTTCAGTAAGTTGGATGTGTCTCTTATTTTTAAATTATTAACCATTTTTTAAGAAAACATAATTCTACATACTGTATGCTGGAGAAACTAGTTCTCTTTTGACGAAATTTGGCACAGTTTTAACTGATACTTTGCTTGTATTTCTTTTCCTCCATTAGACTTCTATTTTAAGAAGTTTATTAGTATATTTGTTTAAAAATTCCCATTCTGCCATAAAACACAATATATGAAATCTCAGATAAAGAGAGTTTCTTTGTTTTAACCTAAAATTTTACTTTCCCCTATGTGCTATTCCACAGTTGTTATAGTGTTAATACAAGCAGTTTATAACATTCTTCATATAATCATACCTTATACATATATATGTCATTAATCATAACACTATTTCTTATTCTTAAAAACATACTTATTTTTATAAAACTCTACCTCCTTTCATTATGTCTGCAGTACCTGTATCCAAAATTATATCTGTATTCAAACTCTGGTTAATGTCATTGTGAGTGTGAAAGAAGAAAAAAAATATTATATTGCCTTTCCCACTTATCTTTATTAATATACTTCAAGTGTCTTGGAGACACTTCTCTCATTCAAGTTCATAAACAGACCTTCTATTTGCATTCTTTGGTAAATGTAATATTACACAGACAGGCCTGGACTTAAACTTCAGAAGCCAGCCCAACATCCGTGCGCACATCATTAAACAGACTGCAGACCGAGTGGCTCTCACCGCTCGCTCGCTGCCCCCACAAGGCCTGTGACACCTGCTCCCCCCAGAACTGAGGCGCTGAGACCGAGCCCTGGGGACTTAGTCCAGCTTGACCCTTGTGGTGCTTACGGGGCTCTACATCAGTTTATAGGACTGACCATGCACAAGGTAGGTTATTTCTAGGCCCCAAATAGGGGCAGAGCCTTCTGAAGACAAAGTCTGAGATACAATTATAGGACAATGGAAAGCTCTCTGGGGGGTTTCGGGCCTGACCACGCCTGGGAGGTCACACTGTGACTTGGCAGAGCTCCAGGGGAAAGGGCTGGGGACGTGCGCCCAAATGTTTGCACACACACAGACCTCTTCACCCCATCCTACCTACCTTTGTCTGGTCAGCACCTCTAACAGTGAACCCCCTCATACAACATAAACTGTGCCCTCACATGAGGTGAAACCAGGCCCCTTCCTGGTGATGCCCAGGCACAGGGGTATCTGCATATGATTTGCATCATTGCTGTCCCGTTTTTATCAATTGTGTGCAGACATAGCTGCATAGACAGGCCACACACGAGAAATCATTTAAAAATGGCTGCTCCCGTCGTTAACGCTAAGCGTTGCTGATGGCTCTTCCCTATGCCTTGATCGTAGTGTGTTTAATTTCACAAACTTTCTGTATTAAAAATGGACACATACCCAGTATTGTATTCGTTCATTCCACAAAAGCCCGTAGAGCCTGTGCTTTTTGCTGGGCGCTGGTGGCGCAGAGGTTAGCGGCGAGGTCTCCCCAGCAAGGAGCAGACATTCAACAGGAGGACCAATAACTGTGATTATGTCGTGCAGTTTAAGAGGGTGATACGTTCTGTACAAAAATCAAGCGAAAGAAACACAAGTGAGAGTGAGGGCAGGCGAGCTTTGTTTTGGTAAAGGTGATCTGGGAATGCCCCTTTGAAGGAGTGACATTTGAGCAGTAGGCTTCTGGAGGAAGGGAGTGAGTAAATGGCATGAAAGTCAGAAGAATCTTTGTGCCAGAGGATGAGCGAGGGCAAAAGCCATCTCACCAGACAGAAGAACAACAGAAAAGCATGTCCGGATCCCATGGAGGGAGGACAGAGTGGTTGGCAGCTCCCAAGAGGGTGCCCAGGGGCAGGCCGTGCAGGCCTGGCAGGACGTGGGTATCACCTGACCTTTGTTCCGAGTGAGATGGGGCAACAGTAGAGCGTTTCAAGGCCCTTTAGTTACTTACATAAGATTTACAGTTTGGGTGTTATGAGAAGGGGCCGAGCATGTGGGTTCAAGCACTGGCTGGAGTGTCAAACTGTTAATACTTACACTGAAATTCCGATGCTCACGTACAAACTGAGACCTTGGGCAGGTGACCTTGCCTTTGTGTGTTCCAAGATTCCCATCTCAAAAGTGGAGATAACAGAAGTCCCCCATAGCACAGTTGACAAGACTAGATGAGGTGATTATAATTTATAATAAAGATGATAATGGTGATGATAGTAATTATCGTTTTCATCACTACTTTCTTTAACAAGTAGAGGGTACAACACTGTGGAAATTATAGCCCAATGAGATTGTAGATATTTTATGCTATCTTTATCTTCCAAATATGCTTGGTTATATGAAAGATCAGCATGTGTGTGTGTGTGTGTGTGTGTGTGTGTGTGTGTGTGTGTGTACACCTTCCTTACACAAAGCGGTAATGTTTGTGAAAATGTTTTCTTCAGTCATGATTTTGACAAGGAAACTTATTTTATTTTATTTATTTATTTATTTTTTTTTTCTTATTAATACAGTATTTATTTATCTTCCTTCTGTCAAACCCTGAGCCAACCACTTTCCCCAGGCTGCCTGGGGAGGTATAGGAAAAGGAACATACAGGGCAGACAAGACACAGGAGAAAGAACTATGGGAGGTGGAGATGGCTCCTTCACATGGCGAAGAGGATGAGAAAGGCCACCATCAGGCAAAAGAGCCCCATGGCCTCTGAGAGGGCAAAGCCCAGAATGGCGTAGGAGAAGAGCTGTTGCTTCAGAGAAGGGTTCCTGGGAGAAGGGGAAGAAAAAAGACTGAATTTCTAGTCCACACAAAGAAAAGAACATCAAAGGCAGGCTCAGGGAGAATTCATCCCAAGCTCATCTTATGTAACAAATCTCTCGGGGTGACATCATCATGCCCTAAATCTTGCTCTGACACATCAGGGTTTTACAGAGACTGAGTGAGAGAAGTGAACAATACAAAATTGTATACAAACATTACCACGTCTAATGGCACCCATATCATCATAACTTAAGATCTCTGGGCCTGGACACTTAACTATTCAGGGCCCAACCAGGATGGAGGAGGTATCCTACTGGAGAGGCAGGGTCTATCATAGCAGTGTTTTCAAAGTTTAAGCAGCAGAACTCCCAAATATGAAACATATAAAAGCCAAAAACGGCAATGGTAAAAAAGTGGGGTATGTTAAAAGCTTGTTTTACTGGTCTCCCTTTCATTCTCTAAGACAGTCTCTGGGGCATACCCTCAGAACCCTAGGGCTTCATGGAACACAATTAGAAAAACACTGCTCTAGAGGACAAGGGAGTCAGAGCAAATACCTTCTCTCATTTCCAAACAGTCAAAAAATTTGGAGTTTTAAAAAGCTACAAATGGTCTACAGGGTTTAGATGATATGAATCAAAATGAGATAAAGAATTCCCAACTTTGAAAGTCAATATAAAAATTTGTTTCCCTTACTCTGTCACCTCTGGAAGTCTTCATGGATAAGGTAAAGCAACACCAGCTTTTAACATAATTGTGGGCACAGAAGAAGTTAGGCTTCTTGTTTCATATAAATCTTAAAAAATATACTTATTTCTCCAAAGACATTAAGATCTATCTAACTTGCGGGACTCTAGGGGATTAATTTAACTCTAACANGTCTGGGTATGTGGGGCTGCCAAGCTGCTGAGGCTCTCATCTGTCAGTGTCTCCGGTCGCTTCAGCACCACTGCAGAGAGCGACCGGCTCAGCAGCTGAGAGGTGCTCCTGACCAAGGAGGGGGTGGAAACAAACTTGGTGCACGCGTACATTTTCAGGGGATGAGGGGCTGTGGCAGGAGAGCTGCTCCCAGGGCAGAGAAGACAGAGGAAACTTATTTTAAATGCACTAGGCAAGTTTGCTATTTAAAGAAATTATGTAATACATCTCTTGCGAGGAAAAAACTGTCTTGGAAAGCAAAATGACCTAGCTAGCTATCCCTTAGTGAACTGTTTTTAGAAATCTGGATTTTTGTGCATTCACAGCTCTACACAAAGAAGACACACAGTGAAAGATCTGCTATTCTTTAAAAGAATGCTCAGTTTTAAGCAAACTTAGAGTTGTCCCACACAATCTGTTTTGATTCCTTTCACGTTATTTTTATTTGTTTAGAAACACACATTTGGCACAGTTGTTTAGGAGACCGAGACAAAGGGGTTTTTTACTGCATGCCAAAGACATGACAGGAAATTAAACTTGGCAGCATTCCATGAGCGGTGCTTTCCTCAGTTTTCATCCTAAACAATATTTGCATTTCGTATGCACCGTGGAGTTCTCCAGGTTATATTACACGATTGCTTGACTTTGAGATGTTTAAATGGCAGCTAACTACCGAAAGCAGTCTAAATAGAATGCTTATCTAAACATTCCATTTTGTGAACATAGACTTGGGGGAAGGGATACTTTTAAGTACAGTTATTTCTCATTTAGAAAGATTTGATGAAGAAGTCAGATTAACCTAATAACAGATGCCTCTCTCTCAGTAAAATGTTAGGATTCTGGTGTGTCGTTTTGTTTTTGTATCAATAAACCAGTGAGTTGACAGCCAATCAGTCACTTGTTATGCTAATAATGGAACATTTATGTGTCTTCCATGGACATGAGTCTAGGCTCAAAAAGTTCTGCTTTCTACACAAGACACCTCTTTTTTGATTGGGAAAAAAATCTACATAGATTGTTTTTTTAATTGTGTAAGATTGGCTTCATTTAGATAAATAGCCATCACCCAAATTTGAATGAAATGGTCTTTCAGACAAATTTTATATTCAACTAAGGTGGTGTACTTTTTTTTATAACGTGCTGTCCCATTGTATTTTTTTTTTCTATCGTGTCCACATGGTGGAATGCTTTTATGTTACTCAGATCATAACATTCTGCTACCCTGTTTCTTCCATTTCTTAAATCATTTCTCTTGGAGTTTTCTACAATTTTTTTTTCTTTCTTCCCTTCTGCCTTTTACCCCCACTTCCTTCCTTGCCTTCATCCATCACTGTTATGGTGGACTCTTGAGATTCAAAGATAAAAAAAGGATGCAATTCTTACTTCATGGGAGTTCCAAATCTAGTGGAAGAGAGAGATGCAAATAAACCATTGCAATGTGACAAAAACTATGATGGGTATCTGTATAAAATGCAATTAATAGCCCAACTATATTCCCATGTGTGTTGTCTAATCACCTCCTATTTTCACATGTGCATGTTCTAAGTACCTTCAGTCCCTTAATCTCTGGATCCAAAGCAAAAATGTAGACGTCTTATCTGAGCAGTGTAGTGTGTGGCCGTGAGATGGAAACGAGGAGCTTGGATTCAGTGCCCCACTGTGCCACCGACACCCCATGAACTTGCACATAACCTTTCCCAGCTGCAAATGTAGTGTTCTTCTAGCCACGTGACCTCTCTGAGCAGCCACAATATTTTAAAAATTAATTTAAATCTGAATTTGGATTTGGCAGAATTTTATTTCTATTTTCTTTGGCAATTCAGTTGAAATTATAACCACTATAAAATTTTACATTGTTAACTAAGTGTGTAGGATTTTACACAGTTTCAAAGTAAAAGATGTTTCTAATGGAATTAACTTTTTTAAAAAAATCATTAGACTGAGATAAAACGTGTGTGTGTGTGTGTGTGTGTGTGTGTGTGTGTGTCAGTAGTTACTGGCTACAATTAAAGCACTTTTACAAGATTATTTAACTGACACATGTACGTAAACTTTTCCTACAAGTTTGAATACAAAGAAATGTGAATTTGATTAAATATCTAAAGAACATGATGTAACAAATGACTGATTTTTCTGGCAGTTTTTTCAACTCACAACACGACTTGTTGTATGCAAACATTAAGGATTCCGAATTATCTGGAACATTTTGTGTGCAGTGAAATGAGGCAGACTTTCAGTCAAATACACTCACATTTGAACACCAACCCTTCTTTTTATGGCTTAGGCAACTTATTTAACTCTCCAGTTGTTTATCTTTTTTAAACTCAAAATAATAATAATACCTTCCTTGAGTGATTTGATAAGATTAGGTGAAGACTGTTGTGTATCACATCTAGCTCAGTGCCTGTGTCTGGGTGGATGTGTTCAATGTCATGTAACCTTTTATTATTATTATTATTATTATTATTACTGAAAATCATTCAATCTTAGTGTCCATGAATCTGTAATTTCCAGTTTAGTAGTTCCCTTTTGTTTGGAAACTATCATTGGGATTGGGCATGTAAAGGAGAATTTTCTCACCTGTTGGCTGAGGAAGCCAAATTGCTCAGCGGGGAGTCTTGGGGTTATGCTGCCCTGTGGACAGGCTGGCTTCAAAGGCTCCGTCAGCCAGTCAGGAGTGAGCCAGCGAGGCTGTCAGGGGAAGCGAGGACTCAGGAGCCTGCCCTCAGATGCTGGCCTGCTGGCTCTCTGAAGGAAGCAGCCCGCAGATCCATGCGGGCCCTGGAAATAAATATGGTGCAAATTCAGTTTTACGTATTTGTTCAGTCGTATACCTCAAGACTTTTTGTGCGGTTTCTATTAGCTCTATAGATAGATGGTCCCCCCTACAATGAATGATTTCAGAGATGAAAATTGGCAGTAGAAAGTGGACACCCTGGAATTTCACTCTATCTCTGAATTCTGGACTCTCTCAGTTGTAATTAATGCTTTTGGGACTGCTTTGGAAATTGAAACCATCCTATAATGAAGTCTTTTTGGGACTTCAGGAATTCCTTTTGGATAATCTCCAAAACCAAACTTTTCTGTGTGGCACATGACAATTAGGGGAGAGGGTGTCTGTATCATTCTAGGGGACAATGAGGAATGGCCACAGACCGCCATAAATATTTATTAACATGGTGGCCACTCGCATGCGTTCATTCAGCTGTCTAATAATATAAGACAGACAATGCCCACACTTAGCGCTGCCACACATTGCTTTATCCTTAGCTTGTTCAGCAGCGCTTCCCACAGAACTCAGAGCAGCTACCTGGCCATTTCTGAGGCGTATCAGTTACTCTTCAACAGAGGTACCTTCAGGGATCCGAGCCTCAATGGCTGCCCCACAGCTCAGTGGAGGGAATTAAAAAGCACCGACAGTTCCCCATTCATCCCTCTTATGCCTCTCTCAGAATAGACAATTGGGAAATGATTGAAGGAAAGCGGAAATGGCAAAGCCACACCACGTCCTCCACTTGTATGTTTCTGCTATTTAAGGATTAAGGCCCCCTACTCTGTGACATCACTGTTGCCGCTACAAACAGAACCATCTGCCACCGAGCAAGGAAGCCAGTCATTCCCTAATGTGCAAATACTTGGTTGAACTCCTGAAACTTATTTGCTAGATCAAAAGCTGCACTGCTGTGGAATGCAATAAATTCCATCTGTTTGAGGTATTTTCAGCAATATTGCACTTCTTCGGAGAACTGGGGTCCCATTATTCTCTAAAATAGTATTTTACTCCTGATAAGATTCCCTGTGGGGATCTTTATTGCCTTATTGAGCAGTTGGCGTATTTTCTTGACAAAAGCCTGTTTTTCTCCCCTCCATTCATTCTCGTATCGTTATTGACGTCTCCCATAAGCCGGCGATGCCACTACCGGTTATATCGCGGCAGCTCACAGGGCCGTGCAGCTTCTCCACTCTATTTTATCAGCGTTTGCATTGATGTTTGTGTTAAACGTGATGGCCGTCGTGGTCCTTGAATGAGACATTTGCTCCAAGTCACCAATCGGCATTGTTTTCCAGAAAACACACTCTCCTGCGAGCCTTGCCTTGCCGCTCTCCAGAAAGTTCCTGTCTGCGTTCTTTCCCACTCCACCTCCTCTCTCTTCACAACGTGCCAGATCTCCAGCCCAACCTGCTGCTCCCCCTGTGCTCAGTCTGCTGCACACATGCACACGCATCCCCAACTGTTCTTGTCAGCCCCGCATCCCGGCGAGAAATTCCTCCTGGGCCCCTCGTGACAAGAGTTCAGATCTGTTCCCTGCCCATATCCCATCACGCCACCCCCACAGGATCTGACCTACTGAGGACTTGGGCTGCCCTGGGAGTAATGAATCACCGTTTTATTTTTTTAAGCCATATGTGAGTTAAATTGTTTGATATAAATCATACCCTCGCAGCTCCAGTTTTGAAACAGGAGAGCCATTTGCCCGCCGCCTGTCACTGGCTGCCCTCTGGGTCCCTTCTTCGGAGTGTCCCATTTAGAAATGACTGCATTTTTGTGACTAACCTTTCCAGACCCGTTTTCTTGAATGTGGACCAGTGTTTATTTTGGCCATATCCCCACTATACAGTTTTCGCTTTAATGCCAACCCAAGACAAAGCGCATAATTTACAAAATAAAGAAATGGTACAGATGGAGGTTCTAACTTGGTCTGCTTATCCTGTCCCCAGAACCACCCACTTCTTTCCTCTGCTTTCTTTTCTTTCTTTCTTCCTTTTTTTTTCCCCCACCTTCTTTGAAACCAAGGATGCAGTGTTTGTTTAAAAGTGCATTGGCTGATGAAATTTTCCACTGCTTGGCATGTTGGAGGAGGGGCTTTCGGGAAAGAGCAAGCTGACATACTAACAGTTCACTTATTACCAATTCAGACCCATGCTCCCTGGCCGGGTTCCCGTTTCTCCAACCCTTCCGAGTAGAAAGAAAGGGGGCAATCTCTGTCACGATTCTTTGCTGTTAAAAATGTGTGATTTCATTTCATCTAAGTTGAGTCTTTGGCCCATGAGCTCTGGGTGCTGTATGTGTCTGTATGGGTGTCAGTGAATAGTGACATTATTTGTTTTGATTTCGCTCTAGCACGAAAAATACCTCATAGTTTTAAAATACATTTATGTTTAACATATTTCTTTCCTTTTTTCTTTTTCTTTTCCTTGCGGCTCCATGCACAGGGGAACAACAAAGTAAGTTCTTTGTCCTGCAGCTCCTGTTTCTCTCCAGCCCCCGCTCCCCTCCTGCGTGTGTCTTGTCAAGCGTGTTTCTGTGCATGTCGGGATGACTGCACCTGGGACGGTGCACAAACGATACAGGGCGTGCAGATACCAGGGAAAACACGCATTTGGACTCCCATAATGGCTGTTCTGTTTTGACCTAGCGGAAGGAAAATATTATGCCTTTCAGAGTTGGTTATTGGGCAGTTCAGAGAGGTGGGTATTATCAGAAAAGAGATGGACCCTGAGAACAAAGATTAGGAAGGTTTAATTATGTGAACTCTTCTGCAGAACGGGTCCAACACTCTGACGAAACTCAGCGCTGCTGAAGTTTTGACCCAAAATCAAAGCTCTCATGCTAATGTGCAGTTATAAAAACCCCAAACTGGAGTCTTAAATAGCAGGATGGCTGGCTTTGTTGGTGAAATTGAGTTAGATCAGTCTTCTGCCTTTGAAGGTGCCTTAAAATGGATGGAGGAGGGTGGGGTCGACATTTGACTTGGCGTCTGCGCCCTTGATGTATTCCAGCTGGATGGGAGCAGGAGGGTGTGGGAAATGGAGGGGAGACTGAAATGTGTATGATGGCTTTGCGAAACCAGGCAACATACACAAATGGTGGAGATTATCTTAACGTTGTTGTTACAATAAATAAAGGATCAATTTAGTCACTCGTAGGGTTGCTTAGCTTGTTTTAATTTTAATTTGAGTTTTCCAGACGATTAGAACTACTTCTCACTTGTATTAATTATATAATAGTATCGTAATTGGGTGAGATGGTCTTAAGTTTAGCAGGGTGATTGTTTTTTGTTTTGTTTTGTTTTTTTCTACAGAGGATTATAAGTGCTTCATCCTCCCAGGTGGCCCACTTAAAATGGCCCTCACTGAATACAATAAGAATTGAAAAGAATCTGTTATATAAAGGTCTGCCTGCATATTTCAACCAGCTGGAATTCATCAAAATTGCTATTCATAAGCCATACATATAGAATGTAAAACAAATGTGGGAAATCTTGAAGTTTAATTGGATGGAATGTGCTATTATGGACTAAGTTGACGTGGATGGTTGGTATTGAAAATGTGTCACTTTATAAATTTATATTTTGATATAACTACTTGTGACCAAGTAGTAATATTTAATAAAGTGTAAAAAAATACAAGAAAAGTACAAGACAGACATTTGTGAAGGAGCAAAGGGGTGAGCTCAGCCCACTAATAGTTTCCTTTTTTAAAACAGCAGGTAACTTATGAAATTAATTAAAGATTTCTTACACAACGTGAAGGATAATATTTCTAAAACTACCGCTGTTGGAGAAAAAAAAACCCATTTGGACAAAATACAAAAAAAGCAATATTTTAGCTCTTATACCACATAATGTATTTCAGTTTTTAAGCAGTAAGGATGTCTGATCCCGGTCAGTTCCATACGCTGAGTCTGTGTCTACAATGCCATCTGCTGTGTGCATCTCCTGTTGGTTCGTTAAGTACCCTGAGCTAATTGTAAGTGTGCTCATGGCAAGCCTGTGCCTACGGCAGATCAGGGAACCAGCTGCTGACATTTTGAGGAGGTGCTAACCCTTAGACCACTCGAGAAGCATTTATGATGTGCCCCTTTCACTTGTGACTCACTGATGACTTAAAGGCATTTGTCAAATTCCCAAAAGAAAACGCTTCTCCATAGCAGGAGTCATCTGTTTGTGTTAGTCGCTCTGTCAAGCTCTTCTGGGCGCTAAATGTTCGGTTTAAGAGAGGCTGCTGATTTTGAACTAATTATAATCCAATGAGCAATAAAACTCAAAACTTCTAAACTGCTGCTCATTGAGGGTACCTGTGGGACTGTATGGAAGGCCCTTCCATATCCCCAGTCCCCCAGACCCACCATCTAAATGGGGAACACTTGGTACAATGCTGTGGGGGGCGGGCTGCCGGGACCCATTGGAGGTAGGGTGTTGGTGAGTGCGCCAAGGGTGCAAACGCTTACCGTTTTGATTTTTAATTGAAGACTGGCAACTTTGGAGATGCTGGTAATCATTGCCCTTCCTCTTTCGTTGTTCATGTTATGAATAAGTGATAGTTTGTGGGGGAAAAAATGCAACGCTAATACTTTTAAAGTACGATCGTTATATACCGACAATGGACTCTGGCATGAAAAAGCCTCCTCGAATCAAAACAGCACATCTGCGTGCTATTTTCCTTTAGCTTAGAATTTCAGTATAAATGGAAAACACTGGAATACAAGCTATGCTGTCCCCAGAGTTATAGCTCTGAAGTCTTCAAAAGGAGACTGCGAGATTCTTTTTTCCCCTCTCATGCTGGAATGCCGGTTGTGAGTTGTCCCCAAGGCAACACACCTGACTTGCTGCCTGCCATCTACGTGAGCCAGCTGGGATAGGTGACTCATTTGAGACTCACAATGGCTGATTGTTTATTAAGTGAATGGCATTTTATTAGTGATGATACTAACCAGACACTAAAGAGAATGAAGCCTGCTTAATTAATGTTTCTTTAGATGAGCAGGGTGATTGCATTCATGTTCCCACATATGTGAAGTGTAGTGCACACGTGTGCACACACAGGTATAATCTGACATGTATGGAACGACCCTACTATTCATCTTCTCAGGGACAGCAAAATTGATCTGCTTCATTCATCTTTAGATGACACATAGAGTTTGGGAGCTAATCCTCTAAACTCCAGGAAAACAAACTTTCACAACAAATACACGTTTAGATTTACATTATGAACCCATGATGGAGCAAAGCACCAAGGTTTACATTCCTCTTTGAAAAATGATGTGTATTTTGTTATTTCTCCTTAAAAAGCAAACTTTCCTTTTGTGAGGAGACCACAGTTGCTCAGGAGACATTTTGCTTTCAGGCCCGTTACTTATTTTTCCCTTTCAAAATGTTTCTCCGTTGGCCTTGTGATACCTAAGACGCTTAGGGTGCAGCCTGTCTCCTACTTAGAGGGGTTTCGCTGAACCATGTCTTGTCTTCGTGAGAAAGGCCAGAACTAGGACTTCCAGAGTCAGCCTTGAGAATGTGAACAAATATATACAGTAACAGGGAGTTTTTTTCTTTTTCTTTTTTTTTTAATTGTTTGTTTTGTGAGCACAAATGTAATTCAGAATGTATTGTTAGAACTGAGGCCTTCAGGTAAAAAGTAATCTCCATATTTTGTCCTAGAGAGAGGAAAGCAATTTAATTTCCTTCTTTAATTTGATGCCCTCTCTTGGCAGGCATTTTTAAAAATTCAATAGACTTCTAATTTTCTTTCTTCATTAAAGACTTTGAGTTTGGGTTAAATGTATTTGATATTAAATTAGGCAAGTTAAAGATAGAGAAAGACTTAAAAATGTAAGAAATAAAATGCTGTAACAAAAGCTCTCAGATTTCTTACTGAAGTTGGTACAGAAACACAAATGAAAACTAAAAGGAATCCTAGGTTCAGAAATGAATGCTTCAAAAAATGTTAAGCTATGGGGACAAACTACATTTAATCTCTTCCCTTATGGATTTTTTATTACCTTTGAAAGAGAAATTTACTGTCACTTTACTTAACGTTGATCTTTTCAATCTAAAGGATTCTTGTATTTCCCCCCACCCCAGCAGAAGTTTGAAGTTGACTGCCTTGATTGGAGAGAAGGAACATTTGAAAGGAAGATATAGGACCCAAACATGCTAAAGCAGAATTTTAAAATGACTAAGTCTTTATTAAGTTGCAGTTAGAGTAAATGCAATAAATGTATACACACTGGAGGGCTTTGACATTTAAGAAAAGATGAGGGAAGGAAAATCAGATTTAAACACCTGTTTTTACAACAGTTAAAGACTACTTTGTCTAGTGATTTCCCAACACATTCAGCAAGACGAGTGGACATTGTCAGCCTCCATCAGTGGGAAAAGTACTTATTACCCAGAGTACTGTTTGGGTGCTCCATTGGATTCTAGCAGTCGTTCGCAAAGACGGAGGGTGCCACATCAAATGTCACCAAAATAAATTATGCTCAAGAGCACAGGTGCTAGATCCATGTTAATTTGTCTTGCCTCTTATGCCATATCTTCAACTCCTAAATTCCTGTCCTTTGTCATATGTGACACAGTGTAGACAGATGCTGAAAGCCCATAGTCAAACCTAGAAATGTCTTGATGATGTGTGTTATAATCTTGATAAATGAAAGGGGCAGATAGTATAGTGTCCTAAGGTACGTGCCCTCTCTCATATTTAAAAAGCACGAGAGGGAGCCAGAACGTTCTAAGCAGTTCAGGTGCAGTCAGCTCCATTATTAGAGAAGTTTATCAAATGCAGTTCCCTGGGTTTTAAGGAGAGCCCATCTGGTTCTCTTAATTTATACATAACCCAATAAGAATATCATTACAGTTAAGAAGAAAGGTTCAAAACTCATTGGCCTCAAAGTGTTGTTTTCATTCTGTGTGCACATAAAAATGAACTGTCTCAATTATCGCAACACCAGTAAACCTTCGGTTCTTTTTTGGCAAACCAGTCTTAAAAGAGCATTGCTACCGCCTAGCTTTGGAACCCCCTGACTTTAATTTTAATGAGTTGGAGGAAAAGACATTTCAATTGGAGGCAGAAAACTTTGAGAGATCAGTTAGAATCTATATTATGTTCCCAAAGTTATTAACCTTGATGAATAGACTATTGGAAAACAAGAATTGATCTGCTGCTCAGAACTCTCAGTGGGTGATAGAATAGAGACCTCCAAAGGTTGCTTGGGACTTATGTATATTTTATTTCCTCTACTGTGTCCAAAAAGAAGTGACTTCACTCCAGTTAATGAGAAATAATGAGAATGATTATGTCTTACATCATAGCTTTTTGGACATATTTTCTCTCACAGACATCTTTTTATATGCAGAGGAGACAGAAAAGCAGTTGTGTGTGTGTGTGTGTGTGTGTGTGCGTGTGCGCACACGCATGCATGTGTACACGCACGCATGCACACAGATGCATTT